ACTTACCTGAAATTAAAGGAGAATGATTTATGTTATTTATGGTCAAATTTTATACAGGCAACATCAATGCAAAGAAAACGTTACTGCTTCTCAAAGTATTTAAATTATATTTTTGAAAAGAGTATCCTCTTTTAACCATTATTTACTGGGGTATTGGATAGCAAACAGTTGATTTCATTAACTGCTTACTTATTTATACGAACTGCACCACGAGACCACTTGGCATGCATGGGGACTCTGTTCAGAGGACGAGGAAAGGAGGTGCCACAGCCGCAAGTTTACTGTAGCAGAACTGAAGGGCAAGGGGAGGGGGGCAACATGGGGCAGGGACTCGAACAGGATTATCGGGATAGTGGTCGAGGGGTAGGTCAACCGCAGGAGTTCAACCTGCTGCTTGTGGCAAACACAAATAAGCGGAGCGACCACCAAATGAGCATCAGGGCGGCAATTAAAAATCCCTGCTGGGGCAGGAGCGGCGTCGGCTAATGCCCTGCCTCATTGAGCCATTAATTTCCAGGTAAATGCAAGATGTGCCATTCGGCGGGGGAGTGGACCGGGCCAGAGAGCTGACCTGCACCCTTTGCAATTTGTCCACATCGATTAGTGTCCGGCGCACATCGGCTCTGGCTGACAGAATGACAGCCATGTCCACGTCTATTATTTTCAACTTAACATGGTCCGCGCCTCCGACAATTGGCTAGGACATTTACCTCTGAGTTCGCCCCCTGGCTTCTCCTCCCTCCCCCTCTCCCCCTATGTCGACGAAAGGGCGCCACAATGCGACTTGCTCGCCGCAAAGCTGCACAATGGCCGACCTACAACTCACTTCCTTCCGCCGCTTTGTGGAAACCACGCCCGTTCCTCACACCCCCCTTTAAGGACGAAGGTGCCACTTGCCACTTCCCTCCTCCCACCTTCCACAGGCTGGCAATATCTTTAATGTTTTTCCCTGCCCGGCCTTTTTTTCTGTCGCTGAAACGTGTGTCCAGCGGAAATGACAACGACAGTGGCAATTACATTGTTGCATGACACAAATAGTGTTGCTTGCAGCAACTACAACAATAACCATCAAGACAAGGGGCGGGGTGGGAAACCAAGAATGGGATAACAAGAGTTTAAGAGCATTACCAGAAAATATAAGGTAAGGTACCAATTTCTTTCACTTTAAAAAGTATGTACATTGGTTGAATGGAATTAAATATTTGAGTTATATTCGGTTCCATAAGTTAGCTTGGGTTCCCTGACATAACATGATCAAGGGTTTTTTTTCTTTAATAGAAAGAATTTGCAAATATTTTATTAGGATTCTAATAAGGAAACGATAAAGGCTGATATCATAAAATTGGATATTCCCTCGTTTGTTTAATCGAAATTGTCCCTCTTATAACCATAAAAATTAAATATACATTTCTTTAAACATTTCACAATATTTTCTACCTGTCCGAAGGTGGCAGGATGACCAGGAGCTGTGAATATATTCTTCGCACTCATTGAGTGTGTGGCAGACACTGCGTGTTTAACTGTGCGGCGGTAAAAGGTAAAAATTTAATTGATGTCATGTCGTAAAAAATGTGGCATTTTTACTCGATTCAAGCGTGTTGCTCTGGACGCGTGGCGTTTATCCAATTGTTATCAATTGTCCTTCGCAAATGTGCGGTCCGATGTCCACTGTCCTTTGTGCATGTTTATGGTCTGTCCACTGGCCAAACCCACTGACCATTTACCCCGGGGGCCATGCTCCCTGCTCCACTCTCCATGTACCATGTCCCATGTCCAGCTCCATGGCCGAGTGCAAAACTAATTGCTACAAATTAGCGCCTTTATGCTCGAAGCAACTGCTGCTGGATCTGCAAGGACCACGACTGCTGAGCACTTCCAGACCCTTTGTTGGGACTTGGTTGCGGGGATGTCCTTTGGCCCCCCATGGCCACCAAGTCCCTGTGCGTGAGTAACTCAATTATGCTACAATACACATTAATATAGAGGCTAAATTCTGCTCAATTGCAAATTGTGTACCAGTTTGTGAAACTATCACATCGACATTTGTCGCTTGAAGGACAGAGAATCCATTTTAGTTATTTAATAGAGGTAGTTGAGATATTTTTAATAATTGATAGATATTGTAAACTCAAACATTAGAACATAAAATATAAAATTAAGAAAATTCGAGTGAAGGAAAATATTTGTTTGCTGGAAATTGAACTTATTAAATGTTCGAAAACACAGTTTCATTATATTATGTTTGTATTATTCTTTCTTTTTAAACATCATAATTTGTTGTATGATAAACTTATATAATGAATCATTGTTTGATTTTAGACTATAAATATATAAAGTCGATAAAATATTTAAAAGGTTTGGTCTACATTCACATCTTCCGAGAGTATTACTAGATAGTGTTATGTAAAACATTCCTATTTAGAAATAATTTGTAAAGAAACTCACCTTTTCTTAAACTGATTCTTAAGAAGAACTTACTGCTTCTTAAAAATACAATTTTTTAGATGCTCTTCGGGTTAAAGGATCTATATTTTCAGTGGTTTTAAATACGGAACTCCAGCTCTGACCAATTAATCAAAACTTTTTCCTAAAAAAACCAAAAATATTCACACATTTTTCCTGGAGATGCAGAGAGAGGAAGGAAAAAATCTGTTTGTCAGACAATTTGGGCCACTTAACACCTTGCTGAGTGCCTGCCGAAGCGCGACAATTCGTTTATTTAGAATTATTTTAATTTTAGCATTCTGCCGGATTTCTCGTTTGGCACTTTGCTTTGAAAAAATATTAGACACATTTCATGCGCTTGTTTGCATTCGCCCCGACTGCCATTTGTTCTATACATTTTTTTTCCTTCCGTATATATATATATATATTATTTTTTTGGCCTGTAGAAGGAAGCCAGAATGGACGGAGGACAATTTGTGTCGCTCGGTTGTCAGGACAACAACAACAACAACAACAGCCAAGCGTAATAATAAATGAGAAGTGGAAAAGTTTCGCCGCCGCCGTGCTTATTGTCAAGCTCGGCCAGGCCATAAAAAACAAACTTCAATAGCAATAAGGCGACAAAAAGAGAGCTCGAATAAAAGGACGAAAACGAAAAAAAAATAACTGCCGGACCAAAGGAGCAGCAGCAGGACAAAACAAAAAAAAAACAGCTAGAGGAAAAGTTCAAGGCACTGACTTTATAGCTGCAATAATGCCCGTACACCTCCCATCCCGACCCGGAGGCAAGGCTCTCCGGGTCTCCGGGCTGAAAAGGTGAGCCACACGCCAGCAACAGCGAGCCACAAAACAAAGCCAGTTGCAGCCAGCCAGCCAGGAGAAGGTGGGTGTAGGTGGGTGTGGGATGTGGGGCGTGGCAGGAGGCAGGAAGCAACAAGGCCACGCCGTATCCCGCCGAATGTGTTGAGGCACTTTGGCGAGGTAACGAAATGTAACAAAGTGCTGGGGCGTGGCGGGTGCCTGGTTTTAGCAGTCACCAGCAACCAGTTACCAGTAACCAGCACACCGGTGGGGCAGGAGTCCTCCGCCAGGGGTATTAGGTCAGGTTTGTTGTGCGGCTTACACCGGAAATTTGTGTTTAGAAGGCCGCTGGCGTTATTCTTGTTTGCTATTTTCATGACCGCTTCTAGGGGGAAGCAAAGCTTAATATTTTAACAAGATACGGAAGATTTATCTTTCATCTGCATTTAGGCAAGTGGTGAAAATGAGTTCCGTACCTTGATGACACTTAATCTTGAACCTGAATTGGATAACGAACAGATATTAGGCTCTACATGAAGTTATTTAATACCAAAAGTAGGTAAGACCTTGAGTATTTAGCCTTCATCCCATCATCAACCCGTTGACACATGGGTAGCTTAAACTAATGATAATACTAATATCAATGATAATAAACGCTATTACTTGCACTTAGACCGCACTGTTTTAAACATTTATACTCGATACTCGGTACTCGATTGGTGTAAATATTAGTACCCGCTGTGTGTCGATATCATTGATTGCGGCAATCGGCTTTGGCATTCAAGTATCTATTCATTCCGAGGAGCCGTGTTAATGACCAGGCCAATGACAAAAGGACAATGCCAGTGGTGGGCACGCAAGAGTCAAACGCACCGCATTCCCACAGGACATGTCCTGTGGACAGGTGAAGGTAAACACGGGCAAACAAACACGACAGGGACGCGGGCTGACACTCAGAGTCTGAGTGACGGACTGACAGACTGATGGCCGGGCCCCGGGCCCCGGGCCCCGGGCCCCGGGCACATTAATAAAGTCAATAGAGAGACAATAGTTGAAAATTAACAAATGAATCGAAATTACTTAAACAAACTCATTAGGCGGCAGCCTGTCCTAGTCCAGTCGTACCGCTGACACCCATGGAACGCCCCTGGGATCCGCGGACAAGCATTAATATTCCGCCACAAATACTCTGGGGGCGGCGGTGGATCCCTGCCCCAGGTAAGCTCTGGCCACCGCCTCTGCGATTGTCCATCGAATGCTCGCGAGTTTTCCCCCGGCTGCCGCGCTCTGCTCTCGTTGCATGTAATTAAATTTTCCAACCTTAATGTGCTAAGCATAGCAATTTACTCTCACCGCTCGTCCTGCCGTCCTGCCGTCCTGCCCCCTCCGTCTGCCTGCCAGTCACGAGTTTAAATTGTCAGAAACTGTGACAGGCCGACACCTTTGGCGCAGGTGTGGAGGCGGGCGAGGCGACAAGCCGCATATCTATAATTTTCATTAATTTTAATTGGCTGGGTGTGGGCGACATTCGCTTGCAATATAGTAAAATTTCATTGAATTTTAAACTGGAAACCCACTTTTCCAATTGGTTTTGAGGATTATTGTTTTTCAGTTGGATTTTTTAATAATCCCCAATATAAAACCGAGCTCATTTTGGGAGATTACTACAAAACTGGCGCATAATATATTCATAGAAAACTTTTACACGGTAATTATTTCAATAATCGTATTGATAGCTTCCAAGTTAAAGGAAACAAAGTAGTTTTTCCGTAGCTGCCTTCCTAATGTCAGAGGCATTTATAACCCTTTTGGTTCAAAGTACACATTTAGACCGGGGCATTCTTTAAAACTTTGGGTTGATTTTGCATAGAATGCAAAGGCCCGGCTAAATTCAAAATTTGTAGTGTTTGCCAGCTTTAGAGAAACTTAACCAACGACCATCAAGGATGCTGCTGAAGTTGTGTTCCGGCTTGGCCCAATCTGCGATCCGTCCCAGCGAGGCGCGCCAGCTGCTGGGCCAAAGTCTATGCCACCTGGCCCATCTCAGCAAGAGCAATGTGCGCGGTAACCACTGTTGTGGTCCTCTGAAGGCGGTACCTTCGCGGCAGGATCAGCTGAATGCCCTGAAGGGAGAGGAGTTTGACGTACTGGTGATCGGGGGAGGAGCCGCCGGTTGTGGTTGCGCGGTGGATGCCGCCTGCCGCGGTCTCAAGACCGCTCTTGTCGAAGCCGACGACTTTGGCAGTGGCGCCAGTTCCCGCTCCAGCAAGCTGGTTGATGGCAGCGGCTCCTACCTGGGCACTGCCCTGAGGGACAAGGACTTCGAGCAGCTGTACATCATGCTGCAAATGATGAGTGAGCGAGCCACCATGCTCAAGATCGCTCCGCACCTGAATCGCGTGCAACCGATGGTCATCCCCATGTACAGTGTGCTAGGTATGCCCTTTACCTGGCTGGCTCTCAAGGTAAGACAGTTCTTAGACTTCGAAAAAAATATAGAAGAAATTGCATGCATACTCGAACATATTTTCATACTCTTATTATTAATGTGTAAGTTGTTGACTTAAGCACGTGAGGGTTAACATTATTATTTTGCGATATACTTACTGATTTTTTTATTGAAGTATATATATTTTTGATTAGCATTTGTGTGTCCGCCTATTTGTTCGTGGCTATGTAAACTAGTCTCTTAGTTTTGAAGCTATTTAAATAAATCTCTACATACCGACACTTACTGAGTACAAATGAACAGAGTAAAATTCCACTTCCGACGGTTTACGGATTATTTTTTTGTTTTTAATTAATTTCGTCAGGATCAGCTCAATGCCCTGAAGAGCAATGGGCTCTAATTATTATTTTTGTTCCGATAAAGTTTCTTTGAATTTCAGTAACCGAAATAATTTAAGAGTATTCATCTTATCGTTTAATTAACTTTTTGGCACATTCTCTCTACTTTTGTTTAATAGTCATTAATATTATCTTAAAAATTTCAATCCCGACATACTGTTGTTACGATTTTGAAATGATTTGAAAATTTTATAGATATCTAATTAAAATATGAACAACTGTTAAATATTTCTTCTGTTTGTTCTAATAATAAAATCTTTGGAAAGCAACTCTACAAATTTATAGAAAAACATTACCGGAACCAATAATGTCCCTTTTTATATTAAACCTTTGTTTCAATTAGTGTATCGCAACATGTTTCTAGCTGTATTTGTCTGCTTAATTTAAGTAAATCATACATTTGATCATCATTACATAAATAGAATCCGCCGTCTTCATGTTTCTTTTATTCACGATGTTTTTCGTACTGGGTACTTCACATTTTGCCACACCAGACTGCAGCATTTTTACTTCCTAGAATAGGATTTCTTTTTTTTTAATATTTAAAAATCATAACCTCTAACGTAAGTATATATATTAAAGTTTTGAATCCTTTTAGGTGTACGACTTTATATCGGCTGCATCGAATGTGCGCGGCTCACACTGCATCTCCAAGGAGTCTGTGCTCTATGAGTTTCCGCTACTGAAGACGGAGGGTCTCCGAGGCGGGGTTGTCTACTACGATGTCCAGCTGGATGATGCCCGGATGTGCTTGGCCTTGGCTATGACTGCCGTCGCCCTGGGCGCCAGTGTGGGCAACCATCTGAAGGCGGTGGAGATGCTGCCTCAGGAGGGCTGCTGTCGTGTGGTGGGCGTCAATGATTCGCTCACCGGGGAGACGTTCTACATTCAGGCCAAGGCAGTGATCAATGCCACGGGTGCTGGCACGGATGCCATCCGTCAACTGGACGAGGAGGGCACTCCTCCGATCCTCGTGCCCACGGTGGACACCTATATCTCCGTGCCGCGGTACTTTGGGTCCGGACGCTACGGCCTGCTAAGCCCATCGCCGAAAAAGGATGAGCCCACGGTGGTAATGGTGCCGTTCGAGAATCACATGGTGGTGGGAGTCCACGAAGTGGAAGGTGTGTGCGTCTCCCAGAGCCCCTCACCCGATCCGGAAAACGTGAGTTCCCTGTTGGACGCAGCCAAGGAGAAGTTCGAGCCCTGCGTGGAGCTGGGACCATGCCACGTGCTTAGTGCCTGGACAGGCCTGCGGCCCAAGGTCGGCTGTCCCAGCGATAAGAAGGAGGATAGTGAAGATGATAAGATTCCCCCACCGGTCAGCACCTACATGATCGAGGTGAGCCCGAACGGCATGATCACGCTGGGCGGCGGGCGCTTTAGCAGCTACCGCGTGATGGCCGCCGAGGCCATCGACCTGGCCATCAAGTCGTGCGGACTGTGCGACGACCATGTCACCTCCAGCTGGACCGAGGATCTGCCGTTGGACGGCGCCCAGAACTGGTGCTGCATGCTGCCACTGGAGTTCCTGCAGGACTACGACGTGCCCATGGATGTGGCGCAGCACATATCCGACTCCTATGGCTACAACGGGCACGCCCTGCTCACCCAGGGCCAGGATATGCTGAAGCGTCTTCATCCCAACTTTCCGTACATCGAGGCGGAGGTCAAGTACGCGGTGCGCAACGAGTACGCCTCCACCCTGCTGGATGTCGTCGCTCGGCGCCTGCGCGTCGCCTTCGTGGACGCGGCTGCCACGCTGCATATGCTGCCCAAGGTCCTCAAGATCATGGCCGATGAGGCCAAGTGGGATGAGGGGGAGCAGAAGAAGCAGATGTTGGCCGTTCAGGACTTCCTGGTGCGTCAGATGGGTCTCGGCAGCATCGTCCGCCCCAAGGCCATAGGCAAGAGCCAACCGAAAAAGAAGTCTTCCTCGGAGAGCTGCTGCCGTGCGGCCGCTCGCAAGGAGGCCAGAAGTTACTCCAAGACCTTCGCCCCGATTCCTGTGACCCCCGACGAGACAGGTTCAATTGCGAGTGCAAAGATGACCGGCATTCCCGAGGTCCTTACAACCGGGATCACTCACCAGACGGTGGTTGACACTCCCCCGCCTGTCTCCGGCGACCGGTCGAGGTGCATTCCCAGTAAGTGGTCTGACGAGAAGCGCAATCTAATCCAGACTCTGTGGCGCAACAAGTTCATGTGCTAAACACACTTCTAAATATTTGCAAACAGTTCCACTCAGCCTAAGTTACATTCCAAAAATTAAGTTTCAAGACACTTGCTCGTTGGTATTCCTATCAAAACTCGTAAACACAAACTCATTGTTGGTAGAACCCATTCCTCTAAAAGTGCTAAATCCGGAACACCTGAAGAAATTGTTAGAACAGGGTTTAATGAATCTCTAATGGAACAAGCTACCTACTGTGTAATATGTGCAACCATAAACGTACTAAAAAACAATAGACCAATAAATATTACAAAAAAATAGAGAAACCTAAATATATTGCTTTAAAATAAAAGATGTCTCAATCTCTCGGGTCTCATACAAAAAGAGTAGTAACACTAAATAACGAGAAGTGGATCATCAGAAATAAAAAACGAATGATTTATAGCCAGTAACTTTACATTTATATATATCTCAATATATTGCACATTTTTACCGCTTTCACTTGAATACTTGCACTAAAAAATTAATATAGAAAGAATCACTTCTCCATTTCGACTTTATCTATTTCAAACTGTACCTGTTTTAAGCTACAAAGGAAGGCTTTTGTACATTTTCCTTTATTCCAATTATAGTTTGTGAATAATATTTGGGTCAGCTCAAATGCTTCCGCTTGAATTCTCTGAATTCTTTCATTTCAATTGTGCAGATATTTTGAATTCAAGCAAAACGTTTCCCTTAGGCTCGTGTTTGGATTCCTTGATTTCATAATATAATAAAACAAATGCTGTTCGATTTTCCATTTTGGTAACAGACGGCAGTCTCTAACGGCCTTCGATTTTTTCTTTTCGTTACTTTGGCAATTTGGAGTCGCTGGTGTTGTCGTTTGTTTTTAATAAATTAGCTACACTTGAGTGGGAAGTGGGAAAACTCTAGGGAATCGTGGGGGCGACCCATTTTGAATTATTGTTATTGGGCTGGGAAATCATTTCTCGTTGTTTGCTACACTTTGAATGTGCTTATCGCTCATATATTGCTTTATTTATTGGCTGATTGGAACAGAAAGTGTGTGTGCATGGGGGTGGTATTTATATAAACACCATATTTTTCCTGCCGCCGCTCGTTAGCGACGCAAATGACCTTTTTATGGCCACATTTTTGAACTGCTGTGAAATTTAATTTAATGTATCACCAATATGTTAACGAGGAGAATTAATTTAACATGAAATTAAAGAAATCATATGCAAATTTAATTTTGGATTCGCCTCAGTTTAGCAATTGTTCTCTTCTTGGAGATTTTCCAAAAGATGTTTTGAAATATAAATAAAGTTTGAATCTCTACCCACTTAAAATAGTTTAAAAATACACATTATTTATAGAGTTTGATCCGCATTTTGTGCAATGACACATTTACTTAAACGAACTTCATTGTTTTTGCACTTCATTTTGGCTGCAAGTTAGGAAATGCTTTCGTTGGGTCACAAGCGCGAAATTTTGCAGTGGTAAAAATAAAACTATTAAACTAACCCAACGCAGAACACTTTCACTTTCCACGGCGCTTCCCTCTGAAGGCCCCACTGCGGTCTTTTGGTCTGCATTTTATGCTGATTAGTTGAGTTAACAATTTGCAGCACGCGAAACTATTTCGGGAATTTCAAACTTGAAACATAAATCGCAGTGCCCTGCCAAGGGTCGAGTTCTGGCCCTCCGCTGCGACTACGGAGCCCAAGAATTTTAATAAGCTTGGGCCAGCCGTCGAAGGAAGTCAGTAATATGGAAAAATGCAGGCGATGCACACGCGAGCTCATAATAATAAGAATTCCAGCCAACGAGGCATAAGGATCCCTGCGGCGTGGCCCAAGGAAGTCAAGGACACCTAGCTGGCCATTTAGCAACAAAAAATAAGAAAACATCAGAGTACCCCACCTTAAATAGCTATGAAATATCCAAAATAAGGAACCCAAGAAAACGTATGACGGAAGCATTGCCATTAAATGCCGAAAATATTGCCAGGCGACAAACGGAAATAACACGAAAATAGTGTGCCATAAAAATTGCTTTAGTACTTCCACAGAGCAGAGCCGAGCAGAGAAAAAGCTGTGAAAAAGAAATCTGGGACAACAGAAGATTTAATGTTGTGAGAATTCAAGAAGAATGCAAAAGTCGTGTAAAGCTATTAAATTGCATTCATTGCTGCATTCACGAACTACCTCACGAACTTCATTTTGTAAATATCAGAGGGATAGTGAAATAAAAGATAAAATTTTGAAAAAATTTGTTTGTTTTGTTACAAGTTGATTTTGATTAATGCGAGTCTTACTTTTACTCCATAGAAGTTTCAATTAATATCTTTCACATATTTTACTATTTATTGCAGTTTTCAAGCCCAGAAGTAGAAGGCGGTATTTTCATATTTTCAAAAGTGGCGAGATAGTAAGTTTTATACCAAACCATGCATAAAATCATAATATATCTCGGCACACACTCAGGATATCTTGGACCCGGCTGGAGTCGGAGGCGGAATCGGAATCGGAAGGACGGCGGCAGGGGAATGGCACTCAGCTGCAAGACATTGGACCAAACGATAAGTGACAAACATGGTAAGGCAAACAAATGTATATTTTATACATGTGCCGGGCAGGAGATGGGGCGAAAAAGCGGGCCAGAGATGCACAACTGTCAGATAAGTGTGGAGAGCATTTTGCAGAGCGTCTTTTGCCCGCAGGTGACATGTTAAACGTCTTGTAAGCATTTGCATTTCCTCGCTCATAAAATAGACGCAATAAGGAGGAAATAGGAAAAGTCTCTCCGCCTCGGCACTACTCGGATGGGGCGGGGAAATGTGCTGTAAAATATATGTGTGGAAATAACTGAACAAGCATGACATGGCAGGGGCCAACATCTTTTATCTGCAGTTCATTCATTCTTGTTGGCAGCGACTTCAAAAGGGTTGAGAGTTGTTGGCTTTGGCTTAAAGCATATTTGATTATGTCACAAAATATCCTGGAGCATGCTACGCCGCTTGTGCCTGCCACTCAGCCTCTTCGTTTGCTTAGCCAAAGATAAATTTAACAAATATGCAAATAAAACACGCCCCATTCTCCCCTCCTGGCGGCGACTGGAATAAATGGAAAATTGTTTTTCATAAACTTTTCAAATATGCACAATTTGGCCTCCCCTCATCCATTGGACAGCGAACAACCTTTCAGAAAGGCTTTAACAATTGCAATTATTTTATGTTTCTCTTTTTGAAATTGCTTTTAATGGCGAAGGTAAACAGGCATTCTTCTTCCGGATAGACTCAAACCGCTGCGTTCTGTTCAAGTTCAAGTGAAACGATGTTTGTAGGCCTAATGGAATAAGTGCCCAGGCTCTGGACTCTGGACAGACAGAAAAGAAAATTTAAAGATGCATGCTTGAAACTAAACAAAATCAATAAGGAAAGCTTTTAAGTTTTCCTTTGACATTTACATTTTTAGTCAATCAATAATTCAAAAGTTAACTGGTTTCGTACAAATACCTTACAGGTTTTTGATTTACTGTGTAGGAAAGTGTATTTTTTTTACTATGTAGGTAATTATCCTAAAATATATATAGATCAACATTATAGAGCTACAGTTATGGAGATATTCTGGCAAATATTTGACCAAATTAACTGCCATCAGCCTCCTTAGCGGTCTTCCGTGAGATTGACTATTGTCAATCCACCAGTCAATCAATCAAACTAAGAAGCCCATTAAGAGCGGCTCATTAAATTATCAAAGCACTTACCCTTTGAGGGGATCTCGGCCAGCGTGGGCGTGGCTGCCATCAGCATGGTAACCGCGGCAATGACTATCATCATGGTGGCCAGAATCCGTTCCCGTTCCCGTCCCCGGGTCCGTGGGCGTGGGCGTGGCGGCCAGTGAGGCGCGGCCATGGCTCTGGAAATCCTTTGGCTGGCTTTTCTTCTGCAACGGTTAATGGGGAAAATGTTCCACACTCAAATTGCGTTGGCAAAACATTCGAGCTTCGGGGGAGGTTAGCAAACGATTTCACCTTTAATCACTTAAACGGCGCGTAATCAGCAACAACAGCAGCAACGGCAATCAACACCAACAGCGATTGAGACGGCTGGATGATGATGATGATGACGGACTCCAACTTCAGCCCGGATACGGATCCAGTTCCTCCCACCGGATCCGAGTCCGGATGCCTGGCGAAAGTCAAAGTAGCTGCTGCTGCTGTTTACACGCGTTTCTCGCCCATAGTTTTGCCCTAAGACTTCCACTTTTGACTTTTCGTCGACATTTGTTTGTTTTACTTTTGATTTTATGGCCCCCTTCCTTCTGACGACCAAGTTAATTTGCTGTGCGTTAATTTGAGGCCTTTTAAACTCGGCTCAGTTGAATTGAATATCTTTAGACAGCAGGCAGACAGTAATTCGATTTTGTCGACGCAAATTCCACTTTACCCCTCCATTAATTTAACTTTGGTGTTTAAGATTTTCAACTTGACTTTGTGAATCTTCTTGAGAATTCCCAACAAAACTTGGAATGCGGCAGTTAAGCAAAATAAGGATCTATGAACTTTAAATTCCAGTAAATTGTTTAAAATTCTTATAAGGCGAATACAACTACAAGATAACAAAATTATATTGAACTGAATATTTATTATATTAAAAGAGTTGATTTTTTTATTATTTCTAACATTTTTAAAAATAAAGCCAATAATGTTTAAGATGTTGACGCACTATACAATGTAGAACAATATAGACTAGAATATTTCATCTTGTATAAAGCGTATATTGAAAAATAAAAACCTAAAAAATTGTATAATGTATTTGTGAACAAAAAAATTAGGATAAAGTAAAAGCACTCTTTTCAAATTGATATAACTTTTGAAATAATTTGAATTGGAAATTTTATAACAAATTTTTAGAATCCATGAATAAAATTGACAAAATGGTAGCCTCACATCCTTATATAAATTTTATAAGCATATTTTTTATGATTCATATAAGCAACCACAATATTTAATTATTTATCTACTGTAATAATTCACCGATCTGACAATTCTTAACTAGCTAGTACAAATAAATAGAATGAGCTAGATACTTAGGGAAAGCTTTTTGATTCTTATTCAAATTTTTGTAGGTCATATTTTAAGATATTCTTTATTTATGTTTGATCCTCTTCTAGCCTGCTTAAACGATTCTAGATATTTAATGATACAATTGCCCTATGTCTCCATTAATATTCATAATATCCTTTTTACGTACATACGTGCATGGAATCGGATACAATTATTATTTGTTCATCCACATGGCTCTTTGAAACATTTTTCTTTACTGTATGGTACATTTACAAAAGGCCTGAACAACTTTGCTGATTAATTACACCCACTCTCCGTGAAAAGAAGCGTTCCTAATCTCGCCCTTTGCCCCGTGGAAATGCTCCCTTTTTTTCGTCGGAGTCTCAATTTGCAATGTCAAGCTGTCAACGCAGTGCCGGTTGGCAAATCAAGTCTGACAAATGAAATGATTACACAAAGTAAACAGCAAACACGTAACATACAAACCACCTGTCAGAAACTTTTGTGCAAAAGGCAAACTCCCCTTCCCTCCCTCTCCACGAAAAACACGCTGTCAGGACATAAGCGGACAGTGCCAGGCAACATTTAGCCAGCGGAAAGCCAGAAAGAAGTTTTATCGAAGAGCACGGCTAAAAACAATATCCATGGCACACGCAAAAACGGCGGAGCTGAGCGGAACGGAGCTGAGCTGCGCTGAGTGGAGAACAACGAAAATGCAATGGCGATGCCAGCCAGCAAAATGGCAATGGCAACACTTCCGTTTCCGCTTCCGACGCTGCGGGCGACTTTCTCGCACAGTTGGCAAAACGTTGAGCAAACTCAAACACAAACTCAAAAGCAACAGCAGCGCCAGCAGCAAAAGCAACAGCGAAAGCGACAGAACGACAGTGAAACATAACAAAGCTTGTTAATGTTCCACAGCAAAGCGGTCCAACGGTCGCCCTCCTTCGAAGCCCAACTTAACCCCTTGTTGCCGAACTAACCAAGTTATTATTATTATTTTAAGCAGGTTCTTGCTTCTAAATAAATCTTTTTTTTTTTGTGTTGTAAATAAATAAATATTAATAATAAAGCGGTCATTTAAAAACACTTTAAATTGGAGTCTTATACACTTATACACTTAGGATAGGCCAATTACGCTTCTAAACAAACTTTAAAAATGTCTTAAAATCTGTGTTATATTTCAAAACATTGTTTAGTTTAGCAAAAATATGAGAGAAGACGTGTTTAAATAATAAATGTTTAGCGATTTTATTTTGTGCCTAAACGTATTTGTAATACATATAGTATTCTCAGGGTTTTACTTTGTCGCTTAAACATAATATTTTTAATTTGCAACGCAATCAAATAGTTCGCAATGTATGTAGTAATGTATGTTTTTAAAAATTTAAATACCATAACGAAAAAAACTTACTTCAGGAACTTCTACTTGTGGCAAAAAGGGTTAAAGACACTTGCGGATATCGCTGGGGGATGGAATCAGTTTCGTTTTGGAGCTGATGCCACAACACGGAACAATGGCGACGAAACGAACAACGAATTTAAACGCTTTTAATATTAAAGCGTCCGGTATGGAGACACAAAAGCCGAAGGAGCCCAAAGCACAGGCAGCCCACAGAATGCAACACGGCGTGTAGCAGAAGCAACATTTCCAGTGGCATGAGGGGCATGCAAAAAGCAGAAACTGCATGAAAATGCCACAGCAAAAAAGGGGCACACTGATTTTGGGTATATAAAACGGGTTTTACCCCTTGAAAGCAACTGTGTAATACATTTAATTGTTGACAAAAATAGCAATATATTATTTTAAGAACATATAAATTTATAATCTAATTGTATGACAATTAATGGTAACAACGGAAAAGAGGAGATCGAAAATGCTTAAGGCTTAACAGATCCAAACAAACATTTTTGTTCTCATAGATCTTATATTATTACCAATATTCCATTGAAACTTAAACGGATAGTGTTTCTAGAACTCAGTAATACATAAGTCTTTCTATGAATCCTCATGCATCCCAGTCTTTTCATATTTCTGGATCAATAGATTCAAATTTTATAATTGATTATTAGCTTAAAATGATATATAAATTGTTACATTTTTAGTGTTTAACTAAAATGCTTTGAATACCCTATATGTTTTGCCAGATTCTTTCGCGAAGGGAAATAACCACCCAGACGCCTCGAGCCAGGAGCTGTGCAACAACCAACAACCAACAACCGCTGAACCCATCCCGGCCAGGAGTGCATTTTTTGCGGAGCCTTAGACTGTGCGGCCAGTTGGCCTCTTCGTGACGAAAATGTTTCGCTTAACTGGATTTTCAAATATTTATTGCAGCAAATTATTTTGCTGGTTACACGGTGGCCCTTTGTTTGTGTCTCAGCAGCATTGGCATTGCTCCCCTGCAACCGCTCCCCCCAGTCACTATTCGTAAGCGGTTTTTATGGCCATTTAGTTCGTTGAATTCCAGTAAAAGGATTTTGTGTTGGAATTTTTGCGGTTGTTTGCACAATTGCAAACAAATTAGGGTATTACAGTCACATTCAATTTGTTTCGAGTGCAAAACCCATAAATTGTTGTTAAGTTGCATTTCCCTTTCTAGTGTAAATATCCTATTTATCAAATAAGTAGCTTCACACCTAAACAAAAGTAAATTATAGCCAGAAAAAAATTAAGTGCTTTCTCCAGCTCTAAAAAATTCTTATATCATATTTGCTTATATAAATTTTGTCCTTAATTTCAGGTCTAAGATTGAATTGTATAATTTTGTTATACCTATCTAAACTATTTTTTAGTTTTTCGCGGTATAGCGTTAACTATTGATTTGTATAGATGATTTCATTGTGCTTATTGTCACTATGTAAATCGCCGTCCTAATTATTGTTTTAATTTTATAGCAAAAACAAAATATCATACTTAATCATTTTTAGAAACTTTTATTTTTTAAATACCTTGAACAGGAATAAACTGAGTGTAATCAAATCTAATTTATGTAACCTTTAAAAATAAATTATTACTTTATAATCAAGATAAGAAGAAGGTAGTTTCAATGTTCTAAACAGTTTTATGAAATATTTGTTTATAAAATATATTCATAAATGTTCTGTTCCAAAAAGGAGTATTTGTATATATATTTGTAAATATAAAATTCAAGATAAAATTGATAAATAATGCAATTTGAATAAACAAGAATTTAAGTTTTATTAAATTAACTTCGTAAATTGAGGTCAAAAATAGGAGTTTGCAAAAAATAAATTTTACTTTTTAAACTTTTTAACGAAGGAATGCAACATTTACTTTGCTACCCTTAGAGAGATTATTATTTATTATTCTGGTATGAGCAGATACAGTTATTAATTAGCATTCATAGTTAAGTCGACTTAGCTAAATTCGTTTTTAGAGTCACCCATAAAATAATAAGAAATTCGCATAGTCATTATTCGAAAGTATACTACGATCAAGATCAAGAGATCCTGTACGATCCTGGCAATGATATTCACACCTCTGTATCTCAAAATCGCATATCGCTTTAAGAATATGATCAAAACACAAACAAACAAATGTCACCCGAGGAATGGTCAAACTGATGGGTCAGGCGACAGGCGAAATTGATGTACGACAAAGTAGTTGGTAATTACTTCAAATTAAACACGCAAGTGCAGATGCGATTTGGACAGCAATGCAAATATGGTGACCGAAGCTGCCGGCCGAGAATCGCACTAAAACTTTCACTCGCTCACAACTTTGGCGAGGGCTGGCAAAATCCGGCAAATGACAGCGACAGGACCAACGACAACGGCAAGGACTGCGACAACACACCGAGCAACATTTCGTGGGCACACTCGCGTTGGATCGCAGCTCGCAGTTCGGAGTTCGCTAAACGCACGTCAGATACTTCCGTGGCGACCCTCGTTGGGTGCAGGTCGTCCGTTCAGTTGAAAGCCCGAGAAACAACTAAACGAATGGCCGACCTTCATTGGTGGAAAATCCTTAGCCGTGGCCCAAAGGACGCTACCACTTCGTGTCGGTTTGCAGCTTCGGCTTTCGGTTGCCAGTCGGTTTTTCGAATTTCGAAATTCGCTGGTAAAGAGAGCGAGTTCCTCGGCATCGAAGAGAGAGTGCTTCCCTGGAAGGCACTCGGGAGCGTTCATTGTGTCCTGCCAATGCTTTGCTCTTAAGCGCTGATTATTATTTGCCCATTAAGTATGGCTAAGGAACCTTTCTAGTAAATGGTATACTATTATTATAAGCTCTTGAAACAGTAATATCCTTTTAAATTTTAATCTAAAACTAAAGTAACAAGTCAAGAATCAAGTTTAAAATAAACTAAACTTAGTGGGACATCAACTGACAGAGTTTTATTATTCTTACCAAATTTAAACATAACATTATCAGCCGTAGACATCTAACAGCAAAGGAAGGAACTATAAAACTCTAAAGTGCAGACCTTTCAGAATCAAAATTAACACGTATACTCAAAAGGAACAACTACATGCATACATACATAAATTGGCTTATCTAGTGAAACACACTGAACTGCCATTGTCCAACCCCTGGACTCCCAAAAGTGAATGTCAAAAGCAGCTAGCCAACAACTGGTAACTGGCAACAAGCGACTGCTTACCACAATAAAAAATATTCCACATACGCAGCGTTGCCTGCTGGTATCATTTAGATAAACATAACTCGGAACTTAAAACCAAACAGCTGACCAGAGAATAGCTAACCGCACAGCCGGACTCTCAACTAAATAGAGAATTCAGAGGAAAGCAGTTTTGGCCATGAATAAAATAATCAACACGGGAAACTCCATAGAACCAGGGGGCGGGGGAAAATAAAGTTATATGCGTCACAGTCCCACAAGTCCGAAATTCTTCAACATGACCAACTTTTTTATCAGAGGCCAACACGAATTCCTCTGGCCCTACGATACATTATAATAGTAGCGTTGGAGGTCACGCGTACTGGTCAAGGGGAAAGGACTCAACTGGGATAATCCGATGATGACCTGCAAAGTTGACAGAAAGGGGCATCAGTCAACCTCAACAAGGTTTCATAAATACAGCCAAGAGGAGACACAAAACAAACCTCTGTCAGCGAAAGCCTTTAGTTGGATTTTGTTTCGGTTCGATTTTTGTAAATTTAAGAAAGTTGTATTTGAAATAATTTGTAATTATAATTAATAAATACCAATAAATACAAACGAAAATAAAGAGTTACTTTTTGTAGACTACTAGGTTCATTATTTTCGTTGAATTTTTATAAGACATGCTGTCTCATGTGGCTTCCATTATTCAAGTTGCATCACTATTATTACACTCACAACTTACAAAGTAAAATACTCGTGTGCTTACAACACTTTAAAGTAGTTATTTGTTGCGACAAAAAATGAAGCTAATTTAACCCAAATCTAGACAGAGCTCTGGCAAGTGAGTAAATGTCTTTTAAAGCAGGGATATATCCCCTGCAATCCACTCCTGCCCAATTTCCCAGCTAGCCAGTTATAGCCCCTTCGGGATAAGCATTTAGCTGAAATCCGAGAGCGTTTGCAGCGTTCTGCTGGTGTCATGCGAGAAACGACACCCAAAAGTGTGGGTATTAAGCGAGACTTTCCATTTTTTGCTCCCGATGCAATTCGAGTAAATTGCAGCAGAAAAAGATGGTGAGCGGTAAGCGGGAACGGGACTCAGGCCCTTACCAAAGGCACTCGAGATGGCATTATGGGACCCATCTAGTGGCAATTGATTCATGTGGGCGACTGTGTGGGCGTGGCATGCTGATACTTAAAGCGCATTAGCAACAATCAGGCAAGAAAAAGACAAGCTGATTGCATTTGAAGAGCAAATTGCAGACGACAATTGAAGAGGTTGGCAAATATACGCAAAACTGCAAACATTTCCAGAGTTCAGAAAAAATCTGCGGTTTTTTTGTATCACTTAAATACATATATCCAGAGAGAGACATTAAATTAAATATAAGTTTTATTAGTACAAACATGATCGTTTTATCAGAGCTAAGCAAGATTTTATTAACACTGACTAACTCACAATAACGGTTAAACTTTTTCTAAAACAGGCTTCTCCTGGCTTTTATAAAAATTATTGCTTTTGTTGGGCTAATAAATTGTGTACCTATATGCTGAAGAAATTCTCAAACTCGAATAAAATAAATAAATATCCAGAAATTCAGTTTGAACGTTAATCAAATTAATGTGTTCCCAATAAATGGCATTTCATTTTTATTACATTCTCACCCGCAAACCACTGAAATTGATGGCCATGATTGTGGTCAATGGCCGGGTACATAAAAATGGTCTAGCCGTTGACATTAGTATGAGATATTTTCAATATTTATCCTCTTTGTTTAATATTATCTAAAACCACAGAAACAAGGTATTCTAAATTTCTATCAAGATAAAAATTAAAATAAGCTGAACTTATTGGGTCATCAACTACACAAATAACAAAAATAATTATTACTTTAAGAATTCTTAAGTAAAATCTTAATATAAGAGCGAAATTACATAAACAAAGCCTTTTTTTATTAAAAATTGAATCACTTTACTCTGATACAAATTTATATTTGCCCGAACATTTTAACTGCCATAAAAAGCTGCAAAATATATAAAGTTAATTTTGAATTGGGTAAGCAGATTTATTAACCTAATAAAAACCAACATAGGAATGCTTTCCGAATTAGAATTGAGGCTTTTTTTAGCTAAGTTATACGTTTTTATACCCTTGCAGGGTATTATAATTTCAGTCAGAAGTTTGCAACGCAGTGAAGGAGGCACCTCCGACTATATAAAGTATATATATTCTTGATCAGGATCAACAGCCGAGTCGATCTAGCCATGTCCGTCTGTCCGTCTGTCCTTCTGTCCGTCTTTCCGTCTGTCCGTCTGTCCGTTTCTACGCAAACTAGTCTCTCAGTTTTGAAACTATCTGAATGAAACTTTGTAGTTCGCCTTCTATATACTCTCACTCGTATATATGTCGGAACGGGCCGGATCGGACGACTCTATCATATAGCTGCCATAGGAATGATCGGAAAATTTTTTTTAAAAAATTTTTAACATTTTCAGTTTTCAATAGAATTGGATCAAATTTGAGATATAGCCATTTTATTATATTTGTACAATTTTGTATAAAATTTTATGAAAATCGGACTACTATATCATATAGCTCCCATAGGAACGATCGAGAAATTAATACAATTAAAAATTATAACTTTTTCAGTTTTCAACAGATTTTCATCAAATTTGAGGTGTAGCCATTTTATATTAGTCTTAAATTTTGTGTCAAATTTCATGAAAATCGGACGACTATATCATATAGGTGCCATACAAACTATTGTTTGATGTAGAAGAAAAATGGAAATCTGTGAACGAAAAGCTGCAAATATAATATGTATAGGTGAATGAAATGAAAGCAGGTAATACTTCATTGTTTTTTAACACAAATATATATAATTTATATTTTATGGATTCCTAGTCATAGAATTTCTATCTGCAAGGGTATATAAACTTTGGCGTGCCGAAGTTAGCTTCCTTTCTTGTTAATTCTTGTTTTGTCGAAAAAAATGTAACATTTATAAATATCGAGAATTATCGATTCAAAGAATGCGAGTAATTTCGGGTTAGTTATGATCGATTTCTCATTCGATCTCATGATCCAATTGCGAACTGCAAGAGTATTCAAACTTCGACTAACCGAAGTTAAATTTCTTAATTTTTAATATAGAAATATTTTCGATTAATATTAGAAATTTTGTATTTATGTTCGAAGGGGTTTTCTAAGTCCAATTAAAGTATAAAGCCTATCAAATCGGGAAAAAATTATTTTATAATATATAATATATTATAATATAATATATAATTAGTTATGATCGATTTCCCATTCGATCTCATGATTCAATTGCGAACTGCAATTAATATATAGATATTAGTACACGGATTTATATTTCTTACGACCAAAAATTAAATATATTTTTCTATATTCTTTTCGTTTCTTCCACATATGCATAAATCGAAATATGTACCTTCAAGTCATGTTATCACCACATTCACCGACCCAAGTAACCGCTTTTCCCGAACAGCTAACAGCCAGTCGATCACAGAGCCTTATTGAAACCTTTGGCAATCTACCCTAATCAAAGCTCCTAAATATTGCCTCCCACAACGGCGAATCAATACGGCAGGTAACGGAGACCACGGCAAAAAATAGCTAACCTAATGGCCTTTTCGTGGCGCCTTTCTGGCCTGCAACCGGGCGAGTTACGTCCGCCGTTTCCGTATGGCTTTCACAACTCAACGCGTCGACTTTCTTGCTTCGCCTTTGCGGCTCTCGGGAGTCCACGGTTATGGCCTACACTATGGGCCAAAACGGTTAGCGCAGCCTCCACCGGGTTTTCAATTTTATCACCGCCAATTTACTACTGTGCTGTGTGTGTATTCCTGCACTTCTATACCCGTTTACAATTGAATCACAAGGGTATATCCAGATTGTGCAATCAGAAGTCATTGATTGTAAACCACTGAAAGTCAAATTATAATACAGAATACATTAAATTGTGATCTATATAAACCCTTTAAAATATCCAACAAATAGTATTTAAAAGGTATGTGTTAGGTATTTCATAGTCGGGAGACTTATTTTCTGTGGCTCTTGTATTGTATCGGTTCTTTCATATCTTAAGTCAGAGCAGCGAATGCAAGCTCTTGTATGTAGATATTTTTCTTGTCGCAATTTCCTTGTGTTGGTTTTGGGACTTACGAAATCAGTTATGCGCTTTAAGATTCGTTTCCTTTTACTGGGACTTCAATAATAATGGGTAACTATACTATTCCTAGTTCAATTTAAATATAGAAAAAGACAAATTAAACACTTAAAATGCCATAATTATTGATTCAATCTTAGCAGCTGTAAAATTCCACTGTTAAAGTAAGCAATCATTGCTTAAGAACTGCAATTAAGTACAATAAATAGTGCTAAAAATTAAGAGGCATAGAAGAAATGTCATCTGTAGGCAGATTTAAAAAATTGATGTTGCATGCAGCACCCAATATTTCTATCCTCACTTTAAAAGTGCCTTATAGCTATTGGGCTAGAAATAAAATGATCAAATAAAGTTATCGTGAATAAATTCGATTCGCAACACTCCTTGAAATTTATTTCAACGCAAAATATAACTGAGTACTGTTACGCAGCAAATGTGGAGTAAAGTGCAACAAATCTGTTAAAATGGACCTTATTCAAACCAGAGGTTAGAAACTCCTTTCCTTCTTCAATTCTGAAATCACACTTTAAATATTTTGCAATGATGAAAAAGCTTTGGGTCGAATTTAACTTTAACTCTAACATTATCGTACACGATAGACAAATTGTCCAAGCTGGGACTTTATCTGACAGAGAACTATTGACGAAGAGAGTAGACACTGGAATTTATACATTATTGTGTAAGCTAAAAACATTTTGTGTTCTAAAGAATCAGAGTCAGAGCTAACACTCTCTCACTTTCTCTCGGCTCGACACCGATGAATACGATGTGTTATGTAGAAATGTCGTTCAACTCCAACATCTGTATTATTTTGGCATTAAGAATAACTCTTGCGTGGCAAACTTGTTTTACGTTCCCATACATTATTACTATTAGCAAGCCATTAACCATGGCCCACTGTACCGCAGAGTCAACTGATGCTTAAATTAAACTTCAGAGTCGAGTTCCAGCAACTGCATGCGTGCACCTGGGTATTGGTGTTGGTGTGCGAGCGTGCATATGCACTATTATCGATACAGAAGGACATTATCGGCACACATGCACCGCCAGACAGGGACGAAAGGGGGGTGAAAACACGGACATGCATAAAACATGTTTTGGTCGGTTGGCTGCAAATTGAATCAATAATATCCAATCATGGGTTAACAATGCGAATTGATTTCTAGCAACCATGCAAGAGGACCAGCCTCAGTCCCAGTCTTTGCACTTTCTGGAGCCTTCAGGAAGAGCGGCGCCTGCACATATGCAAACATGACAGCCCCGCAAAGGAGATAAGGCCAGAGTAGGAGCATCTGTGAGCTCTCGGCTTTCTTGCCTCAACGAAGGTCTGCTGCCATGTAAATATTAATTAAGTTTCGGCTTTTGTTGCATTAAGCCTTGGTTTTTGCAGCAGACACAGCTGCCAGGAAGGAGCATCTATCATTGCATTAGGTGTGGTATTAGGTGGTTAGTTAGTTGGTCCTTTGTCCTATCGACTTGGCCTAATCAACTTAGCCGTGCCTGCCCTTTGTGTTTACTATGCCGTTTAATTAGTTCAAAGAGTCGTGTTTGATTTGACACTAATTTGGTGTCTATTTTGTTGAATTCTTGTGTACATTCAACGGACAATATTTGCGCAGACACAAGCACGCCTCTCGCAGGCCATTAATTTCCCTTTGATCTAAGATCCCACTCTCAATTGCATACTGAAAATGGTAATAGCCCCCGAAAAATGTATCGCACTTGGGGAAATTAAATTTTGCACAAATTTTGTAAAAGTTTTGGTAAATGGTGTCGCCAACTGCCACGAACTGAGTGCAAGCAAACTTTTACCATTTCCATTACAAGTTTTACCCAATGCGGAGGCGTTGTGCTCCTACCACAAGGCACCCGTCCGACCAGCAAACTCCATTCCCTGGCTTATGCGTTTATTTAATTTCCACGAGCACTGCCATACCACACAGTCTGTGCTGAGCTCTTATAATTGCCACGTAATTGCCGCGAAATTGGTGTCAATTCCAACTCAAACTAACTGAAATGTTGGTCTACTTTTCATTCAAAACATAGAACTAAAGTTAATAATCTGCTCTTAAATTAGTTCAGTCGTTTTGCCATACCATCAAGTGTGATAGATATATTTGAGCAGGGACACAAATCACCAAATGCTAATTTATTTGCTCAGCTGTCACTGATTTCGTGTGCTTAATATAGACCGAATTCATTGACACATATATTTTATTATATTTATATTTATTTTATTTAATTTATATTAATAACGTGGGTGATCCAACTGCAAAATGTACATTCTTTACCAAAATTTGAATGGTACTTCCAAATTCGTGTTTGTTTATTTATGAATGGGGACTTCATGGGCACCTTCCACTTTCTATAACTATTTTCCTGCCAAAAAAAATGGCGATTGAGTCATCTGTGTGTCAAAAACTTAATCATTTTAAAAGCAATTTATTTAGAAAATAAATCAGCTTTTATTAGAGATGGCAATAACTAACTATGTAAATAAATCTTATTTACAGTATTAAGCCAATTGATTTTTTATGTATATTTTCAAGAATATGCTATAAGCATTGGTCTGAAATATATACATATGTTAATTATCAAATTCCAAAGCTACAGTTAACTTTTAACAAACACAATTGATACATTTTAATACATATACAATATATTTTCAATGAAAGCGATTTATGACTAAATTTAACAATACAATTTTTCGAAAATAGAACAGCGTTAAAATGAATTCAGTTTTGTTTTTTTACTATTTATTTTTACTGTTTAGTTCCAGATGGGGTCACAAACAACGATGTGGATCTAAAACACTCAAAGCAACTTTTGTTCAATCCCAGGATGAAGATGAAAAGCGAAAGGATGTTGATATCGGGGATCGGTTATCGGGGATGTGTATGTTACAAACATAATTTTGACCCTGGGAGATACTAGTGTGGCTCAGGCAAGCTCATTGTCGGGCTGCGGATCTTGCTGCACTTCCTCGACGCCTTCAACGAAGATCATTACCAGACCGAGGACGGGTCGCAGATTTTCCGGCATGTGGGTGTTGTCGCCTCCCAGCACAACCACACACTGCTTTCCCGTGGAAAGCGAGGGCAGCAGGTGAGTCACATACAGCGGCAGGCGGTGGAAGTTCTCGCGGCGCACGTCCAAGTTCATCAGGCCATCGGGCCAGTGATCCTCGTGGCAGCGGTCCACCATCAGGTTAACCAGGTTCATCGGGCAGCCGCAGGAGCACAAGCACTCCCGCACGGTCACATGCATGGGAGTGTCCGGGGTGGAGATCAGGCTTCCCCAGGTCCGGACAGTGGCCAGCGGTAGTCCACTGCCCCACTGCATCAGAGAGTAGCGGTCCAGTTGCTCCCCAATGTTCCGCAGCATCGGATTGGAGGATCGCAGTGCAGTGACATAATACTGCAGCAGCTCCAACTCCCTGCGTTGGGTCACAATGCGCACCTCCAGGCTCCCCTGCGCCTTCTTTAGATCCACAATCTCGCTCTGCTGTCTATTCACCAGCTCTCTAAGCTCCAAGATGCAATTATGGGTGGCTAACTCATCCTTGGGCACCTTTATAAGGGAGAGTAACAGATTAAGTATATCAAGATATGAACTAGATTTAGAATGCCTTTCATATCGGAAATTCTTGTACAGGTTCTACAAAATTTTATAGAAACGATAAATGAATTACTGATTAGCTCTCATGGTTTAGGTGACTAACATAGTCTCGATTGATGGCTTTACAGGCAAATGCTGTTCAATGCATGCCTTTAAACTTATAAGGATACTCTTACAATTGAAGACGGATTGAGAATGATCACAACATGATTTTTGTGAATGCAATTCAGTTGTGGTATAAATTTTAACGATACGAATACTTCATAAAGAACTTCATATATTCGATTAATGGAAGTCTAATCCGCGGTAAGATATTTCTAAAACTTAACTATCAAGAGCTCATTTGTGGGCACTTCTTTTTTTTATAAAAGAAGCATTTTTTACCTTCATGCCGCAGCCGTTGCTGCACTCTACGGCCACCTTTGGATTGTACTCGCAGCTGGCCACATGGAACCGGTAGTCCTCCAGGCGCAGGTGCAGGAGGCATCCGCTATCCGCGAAGTTGCACGTTATCCTCAGCCGCGAGAGCATGTTGCGCATCAGACGAGAGACGGGCACCAGGTGACCACGCATCAGGTCGGAGCGGTCCACGGGGCAGATCTGCTTCTCCAGCATCCACTTCTCAATGCAGGCCCGGCAGAAGGCATGCTCGCAGCCAGAGGATTGCACAGGATCCTCCAGAACGTCGCCGCAGATCGGGCAGACGAGCTCCTCGTCCACGACACCAACAATGCAGTTGAGATCAAAGCCCATGTTGGATCCGAAGGGTCAGACTCGATTTGGATGTCGTTGATGACTCGTTGCTGTTCATTAATTTCGCGACCACTTGGCACAGGCTAACAAATGTATTCCTAAATTCTATATTTTTATAATTTTCCGATCGAAAATGCTAGATACGCGTCAAAGTTGAGGGGGATATATGTATGTATGTTCTCTGGTGACATCTAGGTATGTGCAAACTAAGCTGATGATTGAAATCGAAGTCTAAAAGTTCAGCTGAACATTCTTAAATTGTAAAAAGAAACTATCTAATTGATAAATTAGTTAACTTTTTTATTCTGATCAAAACATTTACACCATAACTAATGTTTTATTAAGCTATATTAGTTATTTGCACATTTTAAGGAAAATTTATGTATACACAATTTTTAAGCACTGATTTCAACTTAAGGAATTAAAGGAAATTTTCCTATTTTCTACTTCCTTAACATTGTCCACTTTTCATTTTGAGTGTCACCTTTGCAGAAGGTTGAAATTTCCTTTACTTGGTTTTCCAGCTTATTCGAAAAATACGGAGCTTAGTACTCATCTGCTATGCAAACAGTTTTCATAGCGCCATCTACGATTTAGGACACTTCCATTTCAATTCAAGCGCAACTGAAACCAACTAAACAACAAACAGAAAACAGAAAACCGGGAGCTATTCATCCTGGAAAAGGAGGAAAGGCGGCAAGGCGGGAAAACGCTTTCTTGAGGCACTTGCATATAGTGCGGTCGTAAAACCCTTTGCATATTTATAGTCCCAACTGCTGCGGAAGTTATGCAAATTGGAAAACTTACGGCACGACAACCCGCACTCGAACCCAGACCCCAACCCAATCCAACCTTGGGCGCCCACGTACAAGTTCGGCTGGTCAAAACGAATTCCAGAACTGAATTTTATTTATAAAGTGAAATTTTAACAAATTAACAGCAAGTGCTGGGACATGGGCAAACAAATAAACTTTCCATCTTCAGCTTGACAATGGCCGAATTTCGAGCAAACACTCGTCGGAGGACACACACAGGCATGATTGTGACAACATACGGCCATGTCAAAATATTTACACTATATCAACTGCTCTATGGAAGCCTGCGCAAGGAGGCGGTCGGCGCAGGACAATGTGTGACTGGAAATTTGGTTTTAAATTTCATTCGCCATCCGCTAGGATATTAAATTTAATGTTTTCTCTTTTCGAGTGACATTGTCCTGTGTCCGTTCTTGGAATTTAGTGCGACAACTGTACTCTGCCAGCAGTCCATTTCAGAACTTTTCCTCGGATTGCAATTCTGGTTTGCTGCAACAGAGCCCGAGACTTTTGCTTGCTTATCTCCAAATGCAACTGTCAGCCTGTCCCACATTCACATTCCCATTTCCATGTTTCTTTTCAGAATTATTGCCTTCGGTGATGGAACGAATAAATCATAATTGAAAGAGGCCTGTGTTTCCCGTCAGGTGGCAAGAGTGTGGCTTCAGTAAATTCCATTTTAGCCAATAAGAATCGATTCGGACTGGGCCCGTTTATCTATCTTTAATAATAATATTTCTTATTTCCAAACTGATGGAGCGCACAGAAAATAATCAACAATTTTCATTTGACTTGGCTTCGATAAAAAGGCCGCACACAACCACAGTCTTCCGAGCCACTCAAGCAGGCTAATTTAATAAGTTAAACATGGCACAAACAGAGGTCAGCAAACGCACAGATACACAGCTTGCCACAGCAACGTTTTTCCAATTGAACTGACTGGCTTTTAATGAAAATCAACACTTCCGTTTCGGTAGAGGAGTAATGTATGTATCTTACGGATACAACACAGCCCAGATGCATGCATATTTGGATACAACTAATAAGAGTGGCTACGTGTAAATATGCCTTACGTGAGTGCCTTGGCGTTGGTATCTAACGAGCTACAAATGCTTGCCACAGAATCTATATTTGCATTTATATTTGCTGTTGTAACAGAAGAACGTGCCAGCCACATTTGCTTAAGGTCGCCAGCTTCTCTTCCCTCTTAGCGGATAATAACCAAGAAGAAAGTAAACTGTTTATTAAGAATCAGAATTCAATGTTGTTTAATATTTGAATTTTAAATTAAATTCGAATCTATGAACTACTTACTCTAGAATTGTTTGCAGATCATAAGGAGAACTATGTGCAACCAATGATAAAAAATTACAAATTATTTGCTATAACAAAGTCTTGGATATCTTTACCTTTAGCATTTTAATTATATTGTTACAAGCCACGTCATTTTTGCATTGTGACAACATTTTGTTGGTCCACCATTACGATCCATTTCCTAGAGCAACAAGCAAATTGTCATTCCCGTACGGAGCGTTGTCCTGCAGAAAGATACAAAAAATTACCATGAATTACTGTAATTCTGCTTGCTCTGCCACTGGAACGTTGCTGGTGGCCATAAGCCATGCCATTACATGGAAATGGGACATGTCGCAGGACATCGTCACCGGAGAGCGGAACCGGCCGGGACGAGAGTCCAGAGTTGTCCTGTCCGATCTCTCCTTTGCGTCCTGCGAGGGTCAAGCGGTCACGTTCGCATTGTATGACCGGAACGTGCAATTTTTCCGAAGGAGGAGCGAGGGGCTGCGGAAGGGGAACGCAATAAGCACAAGTTTTATGCAATAAAATTAGCCAACACTCACACACGCGCAGGACACGCAGGATGCTTCAGTGGCTGATAAGATAATTTTATTTGGATGTTATTGCATAAAGTCATGTGAGCAGCGGAAATGAGTTGAACTAAAGTAAAGCGACTACGTGTCCCTCCTTCGGGACATCACAGTCCGCACTCGGATGCCGGAAACGGTGTGTAAGGGGAAGAAATTGATTGTAATAAGATAATTGACTGGCTTACAAATCGTTGCATTTGAGAAAGAGAAAGTATCAAATTTAATTAACGCTTTACTCTAAATGAGCATTAATTTCGCTTAATCTCAACTAGTCACAATAAAATTAAATCAAAATAAAACTCAATTTCTCTTTGAAAGATTAAGGAAGGAAATTGGGAGAACTATATCTAAAGGACTCTAGCTAGTGAGTTTAAATTTAATAAGCAGCTATATAGGAAACCATATAAAATAAAATGTAAATTTAAATAGAAATCCAAATTCCCATAGATTTTAGAAACCAGTCACGAAATGAAACGCTTTACACAGTGTCAGTCCCTTCCATAAACAAGGGCATCAACAATTTTCTTTTGAAATGACCTGCTGACCCGCAACCTCAGCCACCTTTTATGGCCATCGTCATCATCATATTTGAGTGGCTCACAAATTAAGCAAAAAGGCCGACTACGGCCATGGACTTAGCTATAGCTTCATTGTCCGCTCAAGCGGTACTAAATCGCCTGTACGAACCCGCCAATGGCAATGGCCTTTTTGGGGTCGAAGGAGAGCACTCAAATTTTTGATACTCTTTAAAAGTAAATATAATACTATAAATTATATAAGTAGCAACACAAGCAATATTGTATAACAACTTCGTAATTAATGACAAGGACCTTGAGTGCGTCCCCAAAAAGTATGCTATGAAAAGTTCAACTCCGAAAGGGAATCCATGCTTCGCTATGCCCATTCGGAACATAGAGCTTCAAAAATGTTTGCTGTGAACGTTTGCTGGAATTTAACAACTGACCGCACACACAAAAATATTTTTGCCACACCCGAGGCGACAACAAACCCAGAACGATGGATCCACCAACCACAACATGGCGAGGAGGAGCAGGAGCAGCAGGAGGGAGAGCCGGAACAGCCGACGAGGGAAAGGCCTCAAGTGCCGCAAGAGCACTTAATACTAATTAGCTTTGCGCCTACGCCGTGACCTACGACCTGCCCCGGCGAGCGGCATTTCCGGATTGGGAGCAGAGTGTCCGGAGAAGGGGGGTGTTGGGGACATTGGCAATCTGTGCCGCGCTTAAGTGGCCGCAACACGCAGGAACACGGAAAGCGCGGGACCGGGGCCGGGGCCGGGGCGGGTTAGCAGCTTGGGGGCGTCATTTTTATGAGCTAATTAAGTTGTTAGACTTGATGAAAAACTCATTTCGTCGCAGGTCCATATCTAATTTGCATTAATTACGAGCTGGCGACAACAGCACAATAAATGACGAACAAATGATTTGGGCAATCTCTGCCCTGACTTTTGGTTTTTGCTTTCGAGCAACCAAAAGTCAAGCGAGCAAACTTCCCCCTTTCTAACCACTTAATAAGCATCATCATGGCCACAACAACATAATTGGCAGGCAATTTGCATTTATTGGCAACTGCAAAAATAAATAATGAGAATTGAAACGGACAACTTTCTGCTCGGCATCTAGCATTGGACTCTGCCTGCAGTCCTTGCAACACTTTGTGTCCCCGCTCAGAATGTCGTTTGTCTCGCCCCTGCCAAGTTCAAATTTGCACATAGTTTACAATTTCTTTGGCAACTTAGCCGGCTGCAGCAATTGAAATTGGAGTACACAACTTTTTAATGGCCAACAGCTCGAAGAACTTGTCCAGGACGTTCCCCAATTGGCTGACTTACAAACTTTTCGAATAATCAACGAACGGCTTAGCGCCTTTTGATACGACATTTCTAGCCAAGGTCACGTGGTTTTATTATGGATTTAAATCCTAAATTGATGATAGGCCAGATCAAGTTAAAGATCAGTTTAATTACCCAAAACCTATCAGTCACTTAAAGCGCTAACTGTGCTGTCAAATTGACACTTGGAATCCTTTTAATGGACTTCTAAGCCTCAGCGGTCAGTCTATTAAAGTACAAATCAAACTTCACATTCCTAAGCCCAAATATCAGCGAGTTTAAGGGGGAAAACAACATCAAATCCCACCGAATTAAGTGCTCCCTGGGGTCCAATCAGCAGCAGGTCCTCGGCAACTGTTGGACATTTTGATGTATAGCCGTCAAAATTGCTGCTGCTCGCTCCCAGCCTACGCAGCCAGTCATCACAATAAATGCCAATTTATTTCAGCTCCTTTTTTCTCTTTGTATTGCCAAGTTTCAGTCCAATCGAAGCGAGTCTGAAGAGCCTCGACAGGCAAATCGAACAATGATTAATCATTGGTTGAACGACATAATTATTTTGCCAGCACGCTGGGCGATCGACTCTGAGCGGTGGCTGTTAATAAAATCGTTGACAGAAAAGAATTTCTCCCACACAGCCATAATGACTATGTAATGAATATGTTG